GATTCTCACCATCCTCTGGGTGAAAAAGATTTTTCCTCACATTTCCTCTAAATCTCCTGTCCCTTATCTCAGATCTATGTCTCATGTCTCTTGTCTCTTATCTCAGATCTATATCCCTCTTAATTTATCTCTCCATTAAGGGCAAATGTTTCTTCCTATCTACCTGCCTATGCCTCTCGTCATTATTTTTCAGACCCCTCAGTTTCCCCTGCTCCAAGGAAAACAACAGTCTGTCAAAGATAGTAGGAACTGCCGATGCTGGAGAATCTGAGATAACAAGGTGTGGAGCTGGATGAACACAGCAGGCCAAGCAGCATCAGAGGAGCAGGAAAGCTGTTTTTTCGGGCCTAGACCCTTCTTCAGAAACGTTTCTGAACATTATCTCAGATTCTTCAGCATCTGCAGTTCCTACTGTCTCTCTATCACCCTATGCTTCCTGCCACTCAACCAATTGTGAATCTAATTAGCCAAATTTGGGTTGGATCCCGTGGGCTTTTACATTTGCTAACGGTCTTCCGTGCAGGATCTTATCAAAAGTCTTGCTGAAATCCATGAAGCCTACATCAAAAGCATTGATCTCATCTGCACACCTGGCCACCACTTTGAAAAGTTCAATCATTTGGTTAGACATGACCTGCCCTTACCAAAACCACGCTGCCAGTTCTTGATTAATCGCTGCCTCTCCAAATGCAAATTAATTCTGCCCCTCAAAATTGCTTCTATGTTTCTCCACCACTGAGGTTAGACTGACCAATAGTTTCCTGGTTTATCCCTTGCCTCCTTTTGAATAGCAGTACCACATTGGATGCCCTCCCGTCCTTTGGCATTTCTCCTGTGGCCAGTGAAAATGAAAATTGTTGCAAGCACCCCTGCTATTTCCGCTCTTGTCTTACTCAATAACCTAGGATACATCTGGACCTGGAGATTTATCAACTTTTAAGCCTGTCAAACCACTCAGAATCTCTTCTTTATCTGAGTTAATTTGTTTAGTTGCATCATGGACATTCTCCATGATTTCTACACCCATATCTTTAATCTCACTCGTGAACACCTAACCCAGAATATTCATTTAGAACCCTACACACATCCTCTGGCTATATGCACAAATTACCCTTGTGGTCCTTTATGCACCTTACTCTTTCTCTCATTATCCTTTTATCCTTAATGTACCTATAAAACAGTTTACGATTTTCCCTTATTTTACCCGCCAGTATCCTTTAGTGTTTCCTTTTAGCTCTCCTAATCACCCTTCTTATTTCCCTCCTGCACACGCTATACTTCTCTAGTCCTTCTGCTGTTTTAAGCCCTTGTATCTATCATAAACCGCCCTTTTTCTCTTAATCCAATGCTATATATCCCTTGATAGCCAGGATTTGTGGGATTTGATGGCTCCATCCTTTTTCTTTATTGGAACATGTTGGCCTTGTACTCGCTGTATTTCCTTCTTGAATGCATCCTACTGTTCTGAGACAGACCTTCTGCTCCCACTCTGGTCAAATCATATCTGATCTTATTAAAATCAGCCTTCTCTCAGTTGAGAACTTTGATTTCTTTTCCATAACAATCTTGAATCTAATGGATCATTGTCTGCAAAGCACTTCCCCCACTGATACTTGCCCAGCTTCGTTACTTAAAATTAAGTCCAGGACCACTCCGTCTTGTAGGGCCTTCTACGTACAGGCTTAAAGAAGCTCTCCTGGATGCATCGGGGAGGCGATGGCCTAGTGGTATTATTGCTGTACTGTTAGCCCAGATAACCTTCTGGGGACCCAGGTTCGAATCCTGCCATGACAGATGATGGAATTTGAATTCAATAAATATCTG